TTTTGTTATCGGCGTTATATATATAAAAGCTTCTGCTGATCATTCGAGTGAAATAACATTCCCTAAAAATGAATCCGTTGGTGGAGGGAGGAGGGTGGCATCGACAGTTTACTATCTATTGTGGAGACATTGCTTGAGCTCTCCGACAACCATCAGTATAACATTTGAGCTAGCATGTACTTCGAGGGAGTTTATAACTTGAGTAATTGTTGTTCTTGTGTGTTTCTTTAATCAAATTTTTAAAATTTGACGATATAATAGTGTTGTTGGGTTGAGCTAATTATGGATCAATATCTATGTTAAATTATTTTTATTCAATTATAAGAACTATTTGAGATGCAATCCTTTATATTATTAACTTGTATTCTACTATTTGAAGCTTTCATTTTCTATGAGCTTTGTTGTTTTGTGAAATTATGTATTGCTTGTAATTTGAGAGTATTTAATATGAGTATTGTTTGCAAGGTTGTTGTGTTCGGTTAAACTATATTTTCAAAGGTGATAGCAAAGTCATATTGTTTACTTGTCTCATGTTTTTTTATGTCATATACAAATCTTATTAAACATTATGTACGAAGTGATGGAAACACGATTATTCATAATTACTATATTATTTATTAGGATTATTATCAATATGGTTAGTAATCTTTTAGTCATATTAGGATAGTCTATTAGGGTTTTCTAGTAATTCCCTATATATATGTACTTTGTGATTCATTCATAATCAATAAGAAGAATATTAAGAAAAAACTCCCAAACCCTAATCTCCCTATCCTCTCAATTCTCGATCTCAATCCATGTAAGGCCTAGGTCGATCCTGTTCTTGTTCTGCCCCCAATCCCAATCTAAATCCCTAATTCTATTCGTATAAACCCTAATCCCCAAATATCAAAACCGATAGAAACTTTGTTCCGATCACGAAGCACCATGAGAGGAAATGAAAACGTCGTGGGAAATGCATCTGGGGGTGGGGGAAGAGAATGTTGTTTGGTCAAATGTGATGGATGTTGACTGTTGAGCTCTTGGATCTTCTACTTTCAGAGGAACGTAAAGAGAATAGACAGGACAGTCAGTTTACTGCCCATGCTTTGAACAGTGTAGTTGAGGCTTTGAGAGGGAAATTCAACCTTACCATCGATAAGATCAATGTAAAAAGTAGACCGTGAATGCTGAAAAAACACATGGCGGATGCAAAAGAAATTTTCAAAAATATGAATGGCTTGCTTGGATATGACCAAAATGTTCTGAGGTTGGGTCTGAAGTATGAGATCTTTTGTGCCAAGTTAGTAACTGTGATTTATGATTTAATGTGTATGAACTATATGAACTTTTTTACCTAGGCCTAATTATTTTGGGAGAATATGAGAACATATAATCTGCCATTTATTATCTTTTTGAATCTCAGCCTCCATAACTTAGTTAAGTTGCTATATATTTCTTTTCTGTACATTACCTTTTATGGAGGAGAAACCTAGTGCAAGTAGATATTGTCGCTTGTCTGGCAACAACTATGACAAGCTTGTTGAGTTATATGGTCAGCAAAGAGCAAGAGGTGATAGAGATACTAGTGTTTTCGAAAGGGTTCAAATATGGCATATGAGATCGCCACAACTCGATATTGATTTAAATGATGTAATTGATGTATGATGGTGATGGTACTTGTACTTTCTCACGTGGAATGCTAGAGCCTATAATGTTGAACATTTGAAAGCTCACTCGTGATCAATAACCTTACACCAACTCCCATGCAACTTCTTCCTCGCGCGAGCTTAAAAGAAAGACTCTGGTGACCACCATAGCTACCTCAAAGAGGATGGTTCATCTGATGGTTTGTGGGGCTCGCAAGAGTGGATGGCCGTAGTTGATGAAATAGAAGGGGGTATGTGAAGAGCAAAAAACATATCCATTTAGACTTATATATGTTTTGGTTGTTGATCAGCATTGAATGTGTTAGGGTTTAGATTTATGGTGCTTGCATTTATTATGTTTTAGGGTTTCTTCATTGCATGGTGTTTTGTGCTTGCATGAATACTTGGTTGTTCTATCCTGAATATCACTGGTGGAGGAACAGAAATATGAATATCGCTTGCATGAATACTAGCTAGCTGTAATGACCATATTACTTTTTAAATTTCATGAATATTACTTTTGCGTCATCGAATATTAGTTGGTACATAATATTAGTTGGTACAGAATATTAGTTAGCCGTAAATACGCTTCATCTTTATAAAAATATTCGTTGACCTTCTAATGAATACACATTCATCTTGAAAAGAATATTTATTGACCTTTTAGTGAATTCACACTCATCTTTTAAAGAATATTCATATACATTCTAATGAATACGCCTTCATCTCTAGAAGAATATTTGCTGAGCTTTTAATGAATATGCATTTATCTTTAAAAGAATATTCATTGACATTCTAATGAATATTCATTGACATTCTGATGAATAATCATTGACATTTTAAAGAATATTCAATGACATTATAATGAATATTCGTTGACATTGTAATGAATATACGTTGACATTCTAATGAATATTCGTTGACATTGTAATGAATATTCATTGACATTGTAATGATAATTCGTTGACATTGTAATGAATATTCGTTGACATTCTAATGAATATTCGTTGACATTGTTGACTTTCTAATGAATATTTTTTGAAATTGTAATGAGTATTCTTTGACATTGTAATGAATATTCGTTGACATTGTAATGAATATTAATGAAATTGTAATGAATATTTGTTGTCATTGTAATGAATATTTGTTGATATTGTAATGAATATTAGTTGACATTCTAATGAATATTAATTGAGATAGTAATGAATATTAGGTGACCTCGTTTGAAATACACATTCATTTGTGAAAGAATATTAGTTGACCTTGTATTGAATACTTTTATTGATTGGATTTGACTAATTGTATTCATTTGTGCAATTCCAATGACAGGCTATGCAGCACTAGAAGATAAGTGCTTAAGGAAGAGCTTGCAATCCCATACAGTAGATGATTGCAAGAGCTTCTATTCAAGATATGGCCATGACCGAGGTTTTGGTGTTCGAGTATACAACGAACACACGAGGTTGCGCAAGAACAACAAGGGAGAGCTTGAGGAAAAGTATTGGTACCTTTACTATTGTTGCAACAAACAAGGCTTTTCGAAGTTGAGTACCAGAAATCCAAAGGTCATTAAGAAACGACCGGAGGATTGTGTCATTGTTAAAACCCAGCGTAAGAGAAAAAGAAACGAGTTAAGGGTTGGGTGTACAGCTCGTGTTGCCTTTTGGTGGGATGTCAATAGGAATGCATTCGTGGTTAGTCATTTCAACAATATACACAATCATGAATTGCACTCAAAGGAGCATGTGCAGTTTTTGAGATCTAACAAAAGTGTTAGTGAGGCTGAAGGTCTGATGGTTCAAGCCAATGCGGATGCTAGTGTTAGTTTGAGCTCTTCTTACAAGCTACTTGCTATGTGTGCTGGTGGTTGCAGTATCTGCTAGGCTTCCGGAAACAGTGGTCTTCATGTTGGCTTAGAAGTCAATTCACCGCTGGTATGTTGACAACTCAGGTCAGCGAATCCTGCAATGCATCGGTGCGACATTTTTGAAACCAAACCATCAGCTGGATCAGTTTTCATACATTCTAACAGGTGTGATGTTATTGCTTTCGGAAATACTACATACATTGTTGAATATGCTCTGTAGTAGTCGAGAATATTAATTTGTATGTTTCCAATTGCAGTTTGGTAGAGGATAAAAGATACAAGGAGAGGATTCTTGACTTTGAGCAAGATCCTCAAGCAAGCTGCTGAGATTTACACTCCTCGCATGTATAGAAGGTTGGAAGAACAATATCAACAAATGGAAGAGTACGAATTGGAGCCGCACTCCAATGGTAGGGACGACGGATTTATTGGGTACACAACTTTCTACACCAAAAACTGACGTCCGTTGGGATGAACGTGTTGTTTTCGTTGATGTGACAAATGCACAGCTAGAATGTGGTTGTAGGTTGTTCAATTCCATGGGAATTATATGTCGCCACATCCTCAAGGTGATGGTCCACCTTGGAAATTTAGGCAATGCCACCATGAAAACCCTGCCAGAACATTTTATATTGAAGAGATGGACCATACATGCCAAGAAGAAAGAGGTCGGTGAATCCTCCACAAGTGCCATGACGGATGAGGCTCCATACACTTCCAACTCGCAGGTAACACCACAACATTGAGATATAGAGAAACCACTGCCATGTTGAATAAGCTTGCCACAAAACTGTTTGTTGCTGATGATGGAGTGTATGAGAAGTGGATGAAAGCATTATCTAAAATGTGCAAGTTGGCAGACCATGCCTTGTCCCGATCCATAACAAGTGAAACCGGTAAGCATCAAATCAGAGGATTCTTGACTTTTGCATTGAATATTACATACTTTACTACTGAATATTGCATATTTTACTACCGAATATGACTTGTCTGGTATTGAATATTGCATACTTACACTGAGTCGATCGAGTCTTCTGAACGAACGAGTAGCCGACATGGCATCAAACGAGATCGTTATCTGATGAAAGAAAGGCATTGTTATATCTCCACTTTCTTAGACGCACAGCATTGAGAAGCAAAATTGCCAGCCATACTGACACGATGTCTCTGTCGTGCTGGCCGTCCTGCTTATCATTTGGTTGATGAAGAAGCGTGGCTGCTGCAGTACTACATAGCTCATTTCTAGGATAAGGCCCAGATGTATATAAACTAATTTTGGATGATGGAGGTTTCTCTTTGGGGAATGGTAAGTTATGCTAGATTTTTAGTTTCCTTTTCATGCTAAAACTGTAGACAAAGGTTATGTAATTAAATACCTTGATATTTATGGATTTGCGGTAAATGGAACAATACATTTATTAACATAATGAAATTTCTCCTAAAGTATTTTATTGATTAGTTAAATGCAGTTACAAATTAAGGAAATAAACCTGACACAATGTGAACAATATTCTCACTATTGATTCAAAATGAACCAAGTTTAGGCCTGTCAATCCGGTTTCGGGTTTCCGGGTTAACCCGAACCGGTTTTTTCATTCTCGGTTTCGGTTTTTTCGGGTCCAACCCGATATCAATTGTGTCGGTTTCGGGTTACTGAAACCCGCAAAACCGAAACGCAACCCGCAAACCCGCAAGTAGATACTCAGCCAGACTGGGACTTACGCTGTCGTTTTTGGGAAGGAGAGTCTTCCTCAGGCTGCCCTAGCTCTGTAACAGAGCCTCTGTTTTCGTCTTCGCCAAACGAAGCAGCCGCAGTCTTCTGTTCCTCTTCACTACCACCACTCTACTTCACAATCCTCTGCTTCTGCTGCTGGAAGTTGAATTCTGCCACCGAGAATCGACCCAGCTCCTGAATTTCTCTGTTGGTCCTCACGTCTTTGACCTCGCTCCACGCCCCGACCAAAATCCCCCTGTGCCGCCGGCCGTCCACTCCGGCCACCACCGCCGCCAACACCACCAGCACCACCACTGCTCTGTTTTTATCAACGCGCATCATTTTTGTTGGGGTGAATTGCTTATCAATTTGCGGTGCTCCTCCAATTTATATAGGCAGATAAAGAGAGAGGGAGAGAGCAGGGGAGGAATTGAATGGTGGATTAATGGTGAGATGCGATGTACTGAACAGAGGAACGCAAATCAAGGTTTCTGGTTTTTTTGGCCGGATGTGGCCATATGGTGCGTATGGGATGGAGGGGGAAAATTGCAGCAATAAGAATAATATTTTAATAAAAAAATTAAACCGGTTCGGTTCGGGTGAACCCGAAACCGAACCCAAACCAACAGTGTTATTTTCGGGTTTCTGAACCCGCAACCCGCAAAACAAAGGCTCAGTTTCGGTTTCGGGTTTGTGGGAGCCGGTTTCGGTTTTTCGGTTTTTGCGGTTTTCGGGTTCGGTTACCCGACCCGAACCAAACCGACAGGCCTAACCAAGTTATAGAAATCTATAAACAATCAGCCGTCCTTTTCAGTCATAATACAGACCCTTCCCCAGCTCAAATTATGGGTGCTCAATTGGGTGTTGGAACCGTAGGAGAACATTGACTCTTATTTAGGCCTACCAGCCATCTTATCTAAATCAAAAAGAGAGACATTTCAGTTCATGGAGGAGAAACTTATTAAGAAGTTACAAGGGTGGAAACAACGATCACTTTCGAAAGCTGGGAAAGACATTCTTATTAGAACATCGGCCACTAATATACCAGTACTAGGATGTCATGCTTCAAGCTCCCCAAGGAAAACTGTAGACGCTTAAATAGTCATATTGCTAAGTTTTGGTGGGGTACGACACAAAATTCAGACCATCCAATCCACTAGTTGTCTTGGAAAAGCCCAGCTCACAGCAAGTTCCATGGAGGTCTTGGATTCAGGGACTTTGAAGCCTTCAATCAAGCGTTGCTAGCTAAACAATGTTGGAGAATATGGACCAATCCAAATTCACTACTCTCCCAAATATATAAGGGTCGGTACTTTACCCAATGCTCGGTGTTGGAAGCATCAATTGGTTCAAACCCTTCGTGGGGGTGGAGAAGTCTACTCTTTGGAAGAGATCTGCTCCTACAGGGACTAAGATAGCAAATAGGCAATGGGCAAAGAACCCAGGCGTTCATTGATAACTGGGTTCCGGGGGATAAACCCTTATTTCCATGTACTCGACCCCATATTCAAAATGGATCACCTATGGTATCTTATTTCATAAAAGAATGTCGAGGGGAATGGGACGTTCCAAAACTCGAGAATTGCTTTGAGCCTCAGTCTATTCATCTCATAAGGAGAATTCATCTTCCTCGATACTCACAGCAGGACATTACAGTGTGGCACTATTCCCAAGATGGAAAATACACAGTCAAATCGGGTTATCACTTAGCTCTGGAAATAACATTGGCATCAAGTCGAAAACCGATAGTGCATATCATCGACCCTCCTATTTGGAAAAAGACTTGGAACATCCAAGTTCCGCCTAAACTCAAGGTCTTCATATGGCAATGTCTCAAAGTCATACTTCCAACAGTAGTGGCCCTTCAATCTCGTGGAGTAAACTGCCTTAAACGATGCCCTGTCTGCTGGAGACATCGAGAAAGTATTGAACATTTATTCTTCAAATGCCCCCTAGCCATCCGATTGTGGACTTTAGTGGGATTGAGCAACTTTATTGAGACCGCCCAGACTGTTAATTTTAGTCTATGGTGGCGACATGTCATGGTCTCCGAGACCTCCCCATTCCACATTCTCCAATGCGTTTGTTTACTTTGGAGAATCTGGAAGTCTAGAAATGAAGTGACCTTTGAATTTATCCAACCTCATGTCCGTTCCCTAGCCAGACAGTTCTACAACCAGGTCCTCGAAATCTCCAGTCTTCTCCCCCCCCCCCCCTCCCCACAGCTCTCTACTCCCAATCATTCCTGCCACCACTTGGGTCCCTCCTCCGTAAGATCTTTTGAAGATCAACGTCGACGCAGCTGTCAGTGCCTCTGGGTGTTCATCTGGGCTTGTTATCCGTTGGTTAGACGGCCATGTGTTGTTGGCATTCGGGTTGCAGCATCAAGGAATAGTCAATCCTTATCTGGCTGAGCTTCTAGCTTTCAGGGATGCTATCTCCTTAGTGGCCTCAAGATCCGTGACCCATGTGAATCGAAGGTGACTCCGAAGTGGTCGTCAAACAAATCAAGGCATCTCAGAAGACTCGATTGGTGGTCCGGTGTTATGGGAGTGTCTTCAGATCCTTAGCTCTTTGTCTGTTTGTATAGAGTTTAGGGCGGTACCTAGATCTGCCAACAGTGCTGCCCATAGAGTGGCGCGTAAAGTACTGCTTTTGTCTCGTGTATAGTTAGAATCTTTTGATTTCTTGGAGGTGGCTTCTTTAGAGTCTTTTAGAGATTCTGGGTAGAATTGTAAGCTTAACTATTATTTCTCATTGATATCACTCAGAAATAAATAAATAAATAAATAAATCACGGATTTGTGTAGCATTGTAGAAACTTTTTCAATTGAAAATACCATAGAAATTCAAGAAGTCCTTGTCTTTTACCTACAAAATGATTCTTGTACTTTAAATATATGTGTTACGTGTTATTAAAGGGAGGTATCAGGTATGCGACTGCAAAATAGAATATGCACCAAGGACATAATTTTTTTTTTAATTTTCATGTTGGAAACTAACATGATATCGCTAAATCAAGACCTTACTAATTTTTGTTATCATTTATTTTTATTAAATGATTACATTTGTTCAACAAAAATATGATTATATTTAGTAAAAACATAGATAAATAGCAAACTATCATATTCAACAATGAAACGAAGGGATACTAGCTCAGGGGCGAACCCAAGGGTGTTTGGGGTGTCCCGGGACACCCCTAAATTTTAGGAAAACAATTTTCCGATCCCCGGTAGTAATTTACGTATGGGCAAAAAATTATAATTGATATTGGAAGACACCCCTTAAATTTGAATAAATGATTATCCTACTATCATTTTTTAATTTGTGTATGTGAATATAATATATAATTTTGGGTAATTCAAACCTAGAACACTATTATTAATAATAAAGATAATTTCTATTAGGCTACAACTCATTTGTAGTTCAATTTTAAACACTGTGTAATAGTAAAATGTAATTTTCGATCTCTAGTTATTTTCAAAATCTAATAATTAAACTAATTTCAAGTTACCCTTAATTTGCATTGATTTTATGGTTGTAAGACAAGTGTTGAAAGAGTATTTTCAGCTTGGGTTACATCAAAAACAGGTTTAAAAATTGAATATAATGATTGTCTAGTAGAACATACATAGACAATCTTTTTGAACAGTATAGACACCAAATGTATTCTACAATTATTTCGAAATATGAACACATCATCAACTTTTAGGTATTTTCTTATTTAATAATTAATTGTTTATTATAATTTTATTTATTTTTATTAAATTTATTTTTTAAAAGAGGACACCCCTATATAAAATTTCTAGGTCCGCCATTGTACTAGCATGTGGCGTAAACGTCCACTATACGTAAACGTCATATACCGACGATCAAACATAGTTTGAGATATTTTTGTATAAATCGAAAGGATAATTTTGCTAAAATTTAATTATTTATAGTGGTATTAACATTTTTATAAAACTAATTCTATGGCAATTTCGCTATGGTACACACACAGATATCTGTGTGCACCAACTTAGAGCATAGGGGGAGGGCCACGTCGCCCAAGCCATCGACGGATGGCCAGAATTGATCGGCTGGGCCACGGGCTCGGGGAAGGAGACGAGCCGCGCTTGAGCTGTGGGGAACCCGAGCTTAGGGTACTGGTGGGGCCGAGGAGTGAGAGATGGGTGGGGTCTGGGCACAATTTTTTGGGTGTATTGGCGGGATTTAGGTCGAAAAATCCAGCCCCAAAATGGGTTTCATTAATTCCACCCACCTACCAACCCGTCTCTCTCAATCTCACACCTCTCTTCTTCTTCCTCCTCATCTCTTCTCTTCGTCCCCCTTGCCGCCATTGAAGACGAGAATCCAGAGAAAAACGCAGGAAGGAGCAGTCTGATGCAAGATCGGTCTTTCAAAGAGAAGAAGGAGATGCAAGGAAGGGAAGATAGTGTGTCGAATGATGTCGAAGGAGATGCCGCACCAAAAGAGGAGGTCCACCTTGAAGATCTATCAACTGAAAACGATAAAGGTCGGTCGAAGGGACGGACCAGAAGATGAGGACCTTGCTGATACCATCCTCAAAGCGGATGGTTCATCTGATGGTTTGTGGGGCTCGCAAGAGTGGATGGCCGCAGTTGATGAAATAGAAGGGGGTATGTGAAGACCAAAAAAACATATCCATTTAGACTTATATATGTTTTCGTTGTTGATCAGCATTGAATGTGTTAGGGTTTACATTTATGGTGCTTGCATTTATTATGTTTTAGGGTTTCTTCATTGCATGGTGTTATGGGCTTGCATGAATACTTGGTTGTTCTATCCTGAATATCACTGGTGGAGGAACAGAAACATGAATATCGCTTGCATGAATACTAGCTAGCTGTAATGACCATATTACTTTTTAAATTTCATGAATATTACTTTTACGTCATCGAATATTAGTTGGTACATAATATTAGTTAGCCGTAAATACGCTTCATCTTTATAAGAATATTCGTTGACCTTCTAATGAATACACATTCATCTTGAAAAGAATATTTATTGACCTTTTAGTGAATTCACACTCATCTTTTAAAGAATATTCATATAAATTCTAATGAATACGTCTTCATCTTTAGAAGAATATTTGTTGAGCTTTTAATGAATATGCATTTATCTTTAGAAGAATATTCATTGACATTCTAATGAATAATCATTGACATTTTAAAGAATATTCAATGACATTATAATGAATATTCGTTGACATTCTAATGAATATTCGTTGACATTGTGATGAATATTCGTTGACATTGTAATGAATATCCGTTGACATGGTAATGATAATTCGTTGACATTGTAATGAATATTCGTTGACATGGTAATGATAATTCGTTG